ATCCAGACCTGATCATAAAGCCTTCCTTGCGCAAACTGCGGCAATCCCAGCAATCACCAGCCCTCCTACCTTCGGTACCTTCAGCATGGAACCCTTTCAGAGCTCAGCCATGTTTCATACTGCCACCGCTGTTTGTGATAATTCCCAGCACTATCATATTGGCTCAGTTCACTCAGCCCAGGAGTCAGATTTCCCAGATAACGCGTCTGCAGCAGGATCGTTCGAGGGAAACTGGCGCAACTTTAAAGGTTTCGAGATAGAACTTGAAAGGTTGAAAAGTGTCAGTGCGCCCGCCTCAGAGGTAGGAAGTGCAGGTCAGTTATCTCAGCCGAGCCAAGCATCTCCTGTAAACGCAAACTCCCCGCCTGATTGGAACCCTAAAGTATCCGGTCTGGAGTCGGAGGTTGTCTCCGAACATCCTTCCTCGAGCAGCCATACAGCCGTGGAAAAGCTTGTTCCAGGCGTTCCTGATCCGGCCTTTCCTCCTCCTAATTCCCCGCCAAGGTCGACCGCAGGTTCCAAGGGTTCCAAGGGTAGTACCAAGGAGAATTCCGCTCGAAAACAGGTGGTCAAGGAGCTCTCTTTTCTACCCGTGGTGGGAAGTTACTTCTCCAGCCACTGAGGCTTGCGCGGCAGTGTATCACCTTCGCACGCGGCTTGCAGGCAATCGTGTGGGTCTTTTGGTAGACCCTGGGGCCCACGACAACTTAGCTGGCGAAGCCACGATGCAACGCCTCAGTGAGCAAATGGGAATCAAACCCAAAACTCATGGTCTTGGCAAGAAGTTAATGGTAGAAGGAGTAGGAAAAGATTCCCAGCAAGCCGCGCAGGCCTGGGAAGTTCCCATTTGCATGAAGTCAGATGAGGGCGAGTATGTTAAAGGTAAGTTTAGGGCCCCCATTATCCCAGGTTCGGCTTTGCCACCGCTTCTAGGCCTAAAGGCCCTTAAGGAAATGAAAGCGGTCATAGATTGTTCCCGGGGAATCCTGATGGTCCCAGGACCAGGTGGATACAGCTTCCAACTTTCCCCCGGCAGCATGACGTTCAAACTTGAAGAATCCGAATCTGGCCATCTTATCTTGCCTGTCGATCACATGCCTGTTAAGCCGTAGGTAAGGAAGACACCCTTCAGCGAAATGCAGGTGCCACTGTGCCTTCGGAAAAGTTAGGCTATGCCACTTCGCCCAGCAGTCAACCTGTTTCGCCTGAGGTTCCCAAAGTGTCTTTCTCTTCCGATGAGGTGTCAGTTATGCCCTCGCAGCCGCGCACGGTTTTACATAGTCTTACGCCTAATAAAGCACCATTAGCCTGGGTTCTTAGCGACAAGACTGGTTTAAGACAACTTGTGTTGCAGGCGCGAGGTTTCAACACCATAAACTTCCATCATGATTTACATTGCAAACGTCAACTCGAATCCATGCTCGCCTCCTTGCAACATCAGCGGCCAGCTGTATTTTGGGTACACTTGGCTGGCCCGGCGGCAGGGTCGGGAAATCGTGTAGATTCTCGTCGCACCGACAATCTTGTACGGCTGTCTAGAGCCCAAATGGATGCCGAACGCTGTTTGGTGCTCGAGGCCAATTCTCGCAGCGGCGCATGGCACATGAATGCGGTCACAGAACTTTGTCAATCATTGCATTCATCTTGTCATGCTTGGTGTCGTCACGAGACGCTTAATAGCAATGCCTCCTTTCCTTGCAGTGCCGAGCTGCGACTGTGTACCAATTTCGAGATGCCTGATATGGGTGAATGTCGCTGTCCAGCCGGCGCAAAACATGTTGGCAGCAAGTCTCTCGGAGCCGACTTGCGCATCCGTTCGGTTCTACAAAGCCTGGTGGACATTGCTCTTAGAGAGGGCTATGTAGCTACTAATGTAACCCCTAAAAGTGACGGCCTATTGCACGGACAACCTGAGTCACCTAATATATATAAGGAGGTTTCTAGTCGCATGCCTTCTCCAAGAACAATGCCCAGTACCGAAGGCGGTCCCGAAACGGAAGCCGGTTTAGAGTTGAGGTTTGATGCTCTAGGTTTAGTTAGGGATAAGGGTGCTTTAGAAGAGTTTTGTCAACGATCGATGGAGTGTCAGGACTTCACCTTCAAAACGTGTTTGAGCATTCTGAGTCAGCTGCCCTTCGGTTCGCAGCGGACCACTCGCCAGGCGCAGGCAACACCTTCTCAACTACAAGGATGCTTAGCGTTCGGGGTTTATAGCTATGGTTCATTTTCCGGCATAACTCGTCAGACCACAGCCTTGCCTCATTTTGTGCGCTATGTGAACGCATTTCTTGAGTCCCATGGAGCTGCCAACCCATGGAGTTCATTCAGCATCAATCGAAACACTGTTCTACATCCTCATCTTGATCCCAATAATTTGCCTGACAGTGTCAATCAGACTATTTCATTTGGCGATTTCACAGGCGGAGAATTGTGGGTGGCTCTCACAGCCACGAATGATATCCCCGCCCATGCTGTTCTCAGCACTCGCTTGTTGCCTATGGGAAAGCAGGTGACAGGTCAAGTCGTGAGCACGCAGCATCGCCTAGTGGTTTTCTCCCCCAAATGTTATCATGCCACAATGCCGTGGCAGGGTCTGCGGTGGAGTGTAACCGCCTACTTGAATAGGGGTGTTTTACATTTGAGGCCGAAGCATTTGAGTTTTTTGCGTGGTCATGGTTTTAATTTGCCTGTTGACCATGCCTTCATGCAGTTGCCCGGCGCAATTGAGCCTTCAGAGGATTTGACCTTTCCCATTCAAGCGCAGCCTGCCATCACCGCAAACTCCTTTCCCACAACTCAGGCCATGAACCGTAAAGCTAAGCTTAAAGCAGGCCATGTGGTCAAGCCTAAGTTGAAACTTGTGGAAAAATGGCATGATGACATGGGAGATGATCTTTCCAGCTTGGAGTCAATCCTTGCAGGCGTGGCTTGGAATCCGGTACTCATGGGTTCGCGTCAGGAGCTGTCCAGTGTTTCCTTTCATGCTCGCAATGAGGATTTTGTATACACCTACTTGTGCGCCACCGAGCGTTGGCTGCACGGTTCAGGTGTGTTAAGTCCTGTAGGACAGGTTCTGCAGCCTTCTGCCTTCTTGGCTTTTGTCACTGCCCGTACATCTTGGGCTTCTGCGCTGCATGTGTGTGAGCTGTTCGGTGGAGAGGGGCGCACGTCCTTTCTAGCTGCCAAGCTGCACGATTTGACGTCAGGCGTCAACTTTGATCTTGTGTGTGGCTTCGACCTTTTGTGTGTCGAGCATGTGCAGCTTCTGTGGCATTACCTTCACGTTATGCGTCCTCTGATTGTAGTGATGGCTCCTCCGTGCACAGCCTTTTGTCGCCTGCAAGGTCTTAATCGCATCATCAATCATGCTGCCTGGGAAGCCGCGCGGACTATCGGCCTTCCACTTGCTCGCCTTTGTGCGCAGGTGGCCAAGTTTCAGCTTTCCCGGGGTCGCCATTTTCTTCTGGAACAGCCGCACGGTAGCTTGCTCTTTCGCCTGCCTGAGTATCAAGAGCTTGCGCAGTCCTTTGACCTTATTCGGGTCGTGTTTGATCAGTGCATGACAGGCTTGCGAATGCTGACTTTCCCTTTCCTCCCGATTCGCAAGCGCGCACAATTTTGGGCTTCCGCTCCCATCATTCTTGCGCGCCTGTCTGCCTATCAATGTTCCGGCAATTTTGGGCTTCCGCTCCCATCATTCTTGCGCGCCTGTCTGCCTATCAATGTTCCGGCAAACACCGACATGCAACTGTTAGCACTGTGGGCCATCAAAGCTCGAACTCTCCTCACGTCAGCAGTCGTGCGAGCCAAGTTTGGCCTTACAAACTATGCCAGTTGATTGCAGCAGCCATAGCTGACTTTGCGTGCAGTGTCATGGAAAGCCATTACTTTGTTGTAGACTGCCCAGGTTGCCGAGGTCACTTTAGGATGGATGATCCAAAGCACACGAGATCGGGTGATTGCAAATATCCAAAGGTGCCATCGTCCAATTGGTCATGCAAAGCTTGCCGCCTCGGGCGCCCTCGAGCGGATAAGAACCATACTTTGGACAATACGTGCCGTTGGGCAATAGCACGAACGATGCCCGAAGGTGCTAGTCGGGAACGCAGTGGCCACCATCCTAATGATCCTCGTGTACCGGCAGCGCGTGATCCAACCGCAGATTTTGCGTTTGGATGACTTTCCGGAACCGGCTGAGCGCCGTGAACCCGGCAGTAGTTCAGGCATACGCCGAGACTCCTCCGGTAGCTCGCCGCGTCGATGCAGCCACTCAAGCAGAAGCCGCCGCAGCACCAGTCATACCTCCCGCGGCGCCTGTTGATCCCGCTGCTCCTGTTGCTGATGTTCCAGTAGCGGCAGAAGAGGAAGCTGCCTGGAATCGTTTCGACTTAGGTCATGTGCTGCAACAACTTCGCTCGGTCAGGGAGGGAGTGGTGTTGCGGGCGTTGAGGAAGTTGCATATCCGCTGGTATCACTGTTCCACTGCCAAGATGAAAGACCTACTTCAAGCCGCTGGAGTTAGCCCTGATGTCCTGAACCTTGTAAGTCGGGTTGTAGATACCTGTTCCATATGTAGAGCTTGGAGTAGACCTGGCCCGAAATCCATAGCAACTACTCACCTCCCGACCCGTTTTAATGAAGTAGTGGAAGCGGACTTGTTATTTTACAAGCGTCATGTCATCTTGCACTTGCTTGATAGGTGCACTCGTTTTACGGTGGCCTCCTTGTTGCCCAATCGCGAGGTCGATTCCATTTTGGAGCATTTACACAAACACTGGATCGCCTTGCTTGGCCCCCCGGGTACTTTAGTGAGTGATCAAGAGGGAGCTTTCCAATCACCTATCAGTGCAACGTTTCTTGAGCGAAAAGGTGTGGCGCTTAAATTGCGCTCGAAAGAGCAACACGCTCAAACTGTTGAAAGACACCACGAGATATTACGTCAGATGCTGCATAAATTGGAGGAGCAGTGCACGGCCGACGGTATAAGGGCCAGCTTCGGCATGATTTTAGCTGAAGCCATCTTCGCCAAAAACGCCTTATTCCGACATGGCAATGCATCACCGTACGAGGCCGTGTTTGGCCGCACACCAGCTCTTCTAGATGCACTTCATTTCGAATCCGTTGCCGACATCAGTGAGCGAGATTGCGAGAGGCTTCGCCACGCTGCTATCCAATCTATGGTACAAGCTTCTGCTCACGATAGAGTAGTGCGGGCCAATGCGTCCCGCGCGCGTCCGGCTGGGGAGCTGCTGGGGATAGAGGTTGGAGACCTCGTGGAGTTCTTCAGGAAACCCAGCACGAAAGATACGTCGGGCTGGCATGGGCCAGCAACAGTGGTAGACACCACGTCAATGCGTGACGGCCAGCTAGGCTTGCGTTGGCAAGGGCGTCACATTACGTGTCGTCTCCAGGATATTCGAAGGGCGTTGACTTATACCTGTCTGCTCATGACCGCCAGGTCGGATTCGCCGACCACGATAGTACAACAGGCGGCCGAGCAACACGTAGGGGTTGTAGTTCGCCTGGGGTGGTTTCAATCCGAAAGCAGATGGTTAGCGTTTGAGGCAAACAGGCGTTATGCCCGAGAACTGCTGGCTGGCCTTCATATGGCTTCTTGCTTGCTGCACTTGTCAGGAGTGGTTTCCTTCCGCTTCGGTTGTGAGGTCAATTCCTTGCCTGCCGTCAATTGTGATGACACTCTTTTGATCTGGTGGCCTATCGGCCTCCTTGAAGAATGGTGTCACGTGTTTCTCCCTGGCCAACAGGCCATCAACTTTGCCAGGCTCTGTCCCACTCTTGGACACAAGGTTGCCTTTCTCCAGTTCTTTTGCGAAAGCGCCGAAACAGTGGCGAGCGTGAGGCAGGTTGTAGCGGATGTGCCAAACTTAGGTGGGCCTTATGACCCTCAAATGCCCCCACCGCGTGACCTGACTCATCGGGTTCGCCTGGGAGGAAGGATGCCTGCTTTGGCAATTGAGGACGGCGCCACGCGGCAGCCTGAACACTTTGACATTGCAACGCCTCCTGCCAGCTCAGGTCCCATGTCTGATTTGGAGACGGAAGGGGAGGAAACTGAAGCTCCCACAGAGTCGGTCGAATCTGTGTTCATGCAGTATGCTGTAACTCCTCCACTTGTTTACACCGACGTCGCCCATGAAGCAGCTTTTGTCTTTTCCAGCGCCGAGTTGGAACGAGAACTGCCATCCTTGGAAATTGCACCTCCCCTAGTGGTTTACTTAGTCACCCCTGGTTCCTTAGCTAAGCCCCGGGATGATGAGGTAGTGGTTTTCCATTATAATGTGGAAGGGGTTGAAGCTGTCATAGAACGGGTTAACAACGTATTGACGCGCCATGAAGCTCTTCAACACTCCGATGCATGCAGAGAGGCCATGGTGGCTGAACTGATGCGCTGGCATAAACATTCCGCTTGACATCGCGGTCTGCGTGCCGATGCAGACAATATTCTTACGAGCAAATGGGTGTTGAAGTGGAAAACTGTTTCGGGGGAACGTAAAATTAAGGGTAGGATGGTTGCCCAAGGTTTTAAGGATAAACAACAGGATGTCCAAACCTATAGCGCCACTTCTACTCGTTGGTCTCAGAGGCTCTTGGTAATTATGGCCACTCAACAAGGTCGGTCCCTAATAAGCGCAGACATTAGTGAAGCATTTTTACGTGGTCTTACTTACCAAGAGCTTCTTGACAGCGGTGAACACAAAACCAAGCGTAGTGTACAACTGGCGCTGCCGCCGGGAACTGCAGAATTGTTGAGAACTTTGCCGGGCATGAGCGATTTCTGTGAGCAGACGGAGGTCTTGTATTTACGTAAGCCAGGGTTCGGTCTGCGTGATGCTCCTCGGTTGTGGGGACTGGCCCTTCAAAAAGCTCTTTGTTCCTTAGGTCTTACGGCGAGCCAAAGCGACAGTCAACTGTACCTTAAGCATTCCCAGTCTCGTCTAGTTTTGGCTTTAAGTATACACATAGACGACCTTAAGATTACGGGAATCCCCAGTGAACAGGAAAATCTTGTTAAAGCCCTTGAAGAAAAATTTGATGCCATGAAAATCGAACGCGACAATTTTGAACACCTTGGAGTTACTCACCGGTTACTTGACGACGGCAGTCGCACCTTGTCTCAAGAAAATTACGTAAAGGAATTGCGGCCAATCGCTGAAGCAGAACTGAAGATTCTTTCTAGCCAGGAGTTCGTCAATGAGCAAGTCAAAAGTCAGTACATGTCTTTGCTCGGCGGATTAGCTTGGGTAGTGCAAACTCGTCCGGATATCGCAGTTTTCATTTCAGCCTTGCAACGTCACTTGCAAAAGCCAAGGGTTCAAGATGTTCTAAACTTAAACAGGGTTCTAAAGTACGTTAAGTTGAAGCCCCTTCCTTTAGTATATAAGCCCGTCAAAAGCCCGTGGTCTTTAGTTGCCATTTCAGATTCAGCCTATAAGGGTGAAGATCAGGACTGTTTAGCCGTACGTAGTGGAATCATAGCCCTCACAAACAAGGACGGTGTAAGGCAGGGTGTAAATGATCTTCAGATCATCGAGTTTGTTTCTAACAAACAATCCCGTGTTTGTCGCAGCACCTTTGCCGCGGAACTTCACAGTTGTTTGGATCTATTTGGCTTGGCTGTCATTGTCAACTCGGCATTGACAGAATTACTCAACGGACCCATGTCGGCAGGACAACTTGCTACGGCTCTTGACAACGGTACGAACGCACTGTTCTTGGATATGGTTATTGACCATCGCGGACTTTTGGATGCGGCGGCCAGTGACGAAAACAAATCAACGGACAGTGCTGTACTTCTTCACCTCATGAAACTACGGGAAGATCTCAAGTCAAAGATACGTACATTATTCTGGGTGGATACTCGATCAATGGTCGCTGACGCGCTCAACAAGGGTGCTATCGACAGGAAGCAGTTACATGAACTATGTAGCGAAGGCACCTGGACGATCAGCCAACCGTTGGTCAGTCATCGAGACACAACCAAGGGCAAGTGATTCTTGAAGATCGCTCTTCCTTTGCAGGATGGGACTGGTCGGCCAAGCAAAGCTTTTGCACGGAACAACCTGAGTCGAAGAGTACCGCCTTCCTTGAAGCTCGGTCAGGTGCACAACGTTGCTTTTCTACGACGCCATTCTGGTCCCAGCCTGCAGGCACTCTCTTGCATTCTAATTTGCGTACCATCCTTTACGGAGTCCTTTACTTGCCCTGTACATTCGTGCTGATCTTGATTCCTCGTTAGCGACAAGTGCTATCCTGGAGTCTTACATTCACTATGCATAGCGCCCGAGAAAAGGGAAGAAGCGCCATGGAGAGTCCTTTGATGTTGTCAGTCAGTTGCAGGAGCAAGTCAGATTCAAACTACCCTATACCCCCTAGACCCCGAAACCATAAGACTTTCTTGCAGATGAATTCGCTTACCTATCCCCGGCTGGGAGGTGGAACGTGCCGAGTACAAGGAGCTTAGTCTGCCATATGTATCTTTCCATGTTGGTTAGGGTGTAGGGTTTAGGGTTTAGGGTGTAGGGCTTGGGTTGAGGGCTTAGGAGTTAGGGTTAAAGGTTAGTGGTGTAGGAGCCGAGTAACTAGACAAGGACCACTAGTAGCCCTGTATGATCCGCATGTAGGTTGCTGTAGCCTGCTATGGCCAAAGCCTCCGTTGTCATTCAATGCCTCGACTTTTTATTTCGTTGTCCATGTCCTTTTCCGTTTGGCTTTCCGCGATCTCTTATTATGCAGACCCCTAAATTAGCCCCACACCTCGAACCTTAAATCCTAAGCCTTGAACCCCAAATCCTAAACCCTAGACCCAACATCTGGCACCCCAAACCCTAAGGCCTACACCCTGACTGTAAATCCTAAACCCTAAATCTTGAATCCTGAACCCTAAACCCCGCCGGGTAGTTTGCATTAGGCCTGCTTGAGATGCTGCGCTAAGGGCCTCGCTCGCCTTAAAGCCTTAGCCCCAAACAGGACCTACATCCAAGGTTTAGGGTTGCCTAACATTAACTTGTCTAAGGGTTTAGGGTTGAGGGTTTAGGTTTAGAACAGAGTAAAATGCCTTTACAGTGGGCCTGTACTAGGGGCCTCCTGCCTGTTTCTTGGGTCCTAACAATGGGCCCCCAATTGGGTTTCTGGGGCATCTCAGGGCACATGCTAGTTAGGTAGGTATGTGCAGCTTATGCTTCAAACTTTTTCCCGTAGCCCCGTAGCCAATCTCAGGCGTTTCACGAACTCTCCACGCGTACGCTGAGGCACTAATCCTCGACGAAGTGGTACAGATTTATCGACATCGCGGCAGATGCCTATGCAGGGGAGGGGGACAGGGGACATTGGTATTGGAGTTTTTAGGGTTCTAGATTTTTTGAACTGTGGAGTTGAAACGGCCTCGGAAAGGGTCCTTTCCAAGGGTTATGGTCTAGGATTTAGGTGCCCATTCAGCAAGCTCTGTCATCAGTTTAGCCGTGGTTTCAAAGCACGTTAGGTACCATGGCGGACATTGATGATGATCGTCTAAGATCAAAGACCTGAATTTCTTCGTCAGGGTAAGGACTAGTGACAGGTTCGCTGTATATTCTATCAAGCTCCAGCATGCCATTTTACAAACCTCGCGAGGTAGGGCAAGTTTTTCCTAGGTCTTCTTGGATTTCTGGATTTTGAGTTGCCACACAGCCCACAGGACAAGGCAGAGATAATTGAACGTTTTCTGTAGCCCTGCCCCCTGATGCAAGAAGCCCCTCGTGGGCAAGACGGGAAGCTTCAACTCTAGAAGCCCCCAACCACCAAAAGGTCAACCCTAAAATCATCAAAGCAGAGCCCCAATGAGTCCTATACGTAGACCTTCAGACTCTAAACTCTCATTTTCAATTCTCTGTTTTGGGGGGGGAGGGGGTTCAAACCCCAGCCCGAAAGAGACTGAAAGCACCCAACGGGCCCTTTGGCAAGCCAAGGGCGCGGCCCTTCGGTTTGGGTTTAGGGTTCAGGGTTCAGGGTTTGGGGCTTGGGGTTCAAATTGTGCCCTTGTTTGCTCTAAGCCCAGAAGATGTCAATGCCCAAATTGGGAACCCGAACCCTAAATCCGCTCCTGAAGAATGGGAGCCTCAAATCTCAGATTCTCAGCCCCAACCCTAAACTGGAAACCCTAGGCCCTAAACCCTAAACCGTAAACCCTAAGCCCTAAACCCTAGACCCTAGACTTTCAGCCTTGACAGCAGCCCTCATGGTAAACTTTCAACAAACCTTAAACTCACATCTTTAGGCTACAGTCCCTAAGCCCACAAAAAAATCAGCCCCCATCCCCGACACCCCGTTTCAGGGTCCCTGTTTGGGGTTTGAGGTTTAGGGTGTTAGGGTCTGGGGTTTAGGTTTAAGCAGGTCAACAACGGACCGGCCATTTTGGTGGTTTCCACTTTATTTCGTTGCCGAACTTGTTGGGAAGCAGGGGGTGCGGCTGGGGTGGGTGGAAGGCGGGGGGTGAATTCCGTGTTCTTGACAAGGAAAGATTCTCTAGCATTCTTTCAAGAAGAATCCTGTAGTAGTTCCACACTCTTTGTGCTCGTTTCCTGTAGTTGTGGGGGGTGGGGGGCGGGTAGTTTCGTACAGGCGAACGTTCTCCAGCCTTCTTTCGGGACAATTTCCGGTATTGCCTCCGCACTGGGAGCGCTAGTCTTCGATAGTTTCGCACTTTGAGCTGAAACATGAAACCCCTCTCGTAAAGATCCAGAGAAAAGGCACACTATAATGCTCACATGCCCTGAATTCTCTGAGCCATCGTAGGGGGTTCTGATGTTTCTAAGGTCGCTCGAAATGTAATTTCACGGGCAGGCGTGGATGACCGATACCAAAAACCGATGCCCCAAAATCATTTGAACACCCAACCAAGTAGCCGAGTATTATACTATAATGTTCTTCATAGATTTGAGTAGTATTTTATTTGGGGATACTATGGTACCCCATATAGAGTAAGATTCTATCCTCCCTTTGGGGTATAGTATTTTATATAAGGAATATACTCTTACTGGGTTTCTCACCAAAAAAAGCTACTCATTTGAGCACAACACCACATTCAGAAAAGCGCTCCTTAGTCTGTTCACGGGTATGCGTACGTTGCGAGGTGCTTTGTAGGCAGGTTTGTGTTGTTTCACACCACTCTTCGGGTGCAAAGCCTGACTCCGAAATCCTATCACCTAAATGGGGGTTTCCCAAAATTAGGGGTACCCTTCTGAGGATCCCCATAATAAGGAATACAATATCTTGGGGTCTATATTGGGGTCTACTTATCTTGGGAAACTACCAAATCATGAATCTCACAACCTGGGCCCTTGACCCCAAACCCTGGGAGTTAACCCGAATCCCTGGACCCTATAGCATCCACATCTTAACCTCTCAAACCCAAAGCATGTGTGCAAACCCTAAACCCTAAACCTTAAGCCCTAAATCCTCAACGCTAAAGCTTAAACCCCCCAATCCTTAACCCTAAACCCTAAATCCTACAGCTTAAGCCCTAAATCCATAAAGTCGAGACCCTGAAAAACCTGGGTGTCTGAGGTGCAGCCGGCTTCTTTGCGGGCGCCGGCTATCGCGCTGTGCCGTGCTTGGCTTCCGCAGAGCTCCATGTAAGAGAGTTGAAGGATCAGGGTTACTGTAGGGCGGCCCCTAAACCCTATACCTGTAAACCCTAAACTCCAAAACTCCAATACCCCTAAACCCTAAACCCCAAACCCTAAAACTCGAAAACCCTAAATCCTAAACCGCGCGGTTGTGGTTTGAAGCACTATGGCTTAGGGCTTAGGATGAGGTTGGACGGATTAGGCTTAGATCCAAAAGGCTAGGTGCGTACGAGCTGACGAGCTGCTGCGCTCTACTAGGCATTGCAATAGTAGGGACAATTTCGGACAACCCCACTATTCAGAGTGGGGGTGCCAACCAACACTTCAGGGTTTAAGGTTTAGGGTCATTATGTTCGGTGCCTGTTTGTTTAAGAACGCATACCTCACGACTTTGACTGACTGCCTTGCTGCCTGACTGACTGATTGACACAGTCAAGACTCTACTGCGGCAGCTGGGCGGTTTTTGTAGCATAGTCAGATACAGGTAGACAGGCCGCCGAAAGCAAGAGAGATAGGATCGAAGTACTGCTGAGCCTAAACCCTTAACCTTACCAAGGTGGTTTTAGGCACTTTACCCCCAACATTAGGACCCTGCTTGAGTCCCGTGATAGTTCTAAGATCTTCTAAGGCCGCATTATCCCCTTACCAAACCTCAAAGCCTAGCTTTGGGAGAGCCGGCTTACACGCCACCACCACCACGAAAATGAGGATAATCTGAGATCGGTCCGTGCACAGCAACAGTCCTGAATGAGCTCCTCAGTGACTAAACAATATGAGGGTGACACAGAAGGTTCCAACGTGTCTGCGTTTGGGATGGAAATTCTCAAAATGATCACAGGTCTCGCTTCGCTTGAAGGGAGACCCCTTTTGTTCCGGGCTCAACCCCTAAGCCCCTAAGCTCATAAGCTACTATGAATATGAGGCTTAGGAGGGACGATTAAGGGTGGACATAGGTTTTGTCCCTAAACCCTAAACACCAAAACCCAAACCCCTAAACCCTACACCACTAAACCCTTAAACCCCTAACCCCTAAACCCATGTAGGGTATGCTTCCCCAATACTCTGTCGATGCTCCTAACCCTAAAGCCCTAAGTGCTAAAGCGGGAGCCTTCTTTGCCTCCACCTGAAGGGCTCCTAAGCCGCAATCTCTACACCCTGAGAACCCTTACTACTTCCGCTATGCTACTACTACCCGGCAAGGGTCCTTCTTTGTTACTGGCCTTTGTTAGGAGTTAGACATGTACCGCCCCCAAATGTCCCCCCCCCCTTCCAAAAAAAAAATAGAACCCTATTAGAA